ATACAATCTAGCAGTTCATTCCGAACTAAAAAATAACTACTTGGTAGAATGTATAGCGTTCATCTTAAGTCATAACTTTTTCTGTTCAGAAGGAGAATTTTTTCTACAAATAGAAGGGAATGCCATGGGTACCAGGTTTGCATCGAGCTATGCGAATCTCTTCATGGGCAAATGGGAAGATAAATGTATCTGGAATAACTCCCCAGTGGTGGCAAACCTGGTCCTATGGCAGAGATGCATAGATGATTGTATCTTTATTTGGAGAGGTGACCTGATGTCTCTAGAACAATTCAAACAGTATCTCAACTTTAATCTGTGTAATCTGAAATTTACCTTTCAATACTCAAAAGAAACAGTGGGGTTTCTAGATTTGGAGATATACATTAAAGAAAACACTATCAACACCAAAACTTTCAAAAAAACAATACACTGCAACAGTTTCATACCCTTCAATAGTTATCATAAGAAGACTTGGCTAAAGAGCATTCCATTCAGTCAGTTTAGAAGAATCAGGCGTAACTGCTCAGAAATGGAAGTATGCAAATTACAAATGGAAGATATGAAGGAACAGTTCCTGAACAAAGGATATGTGGTGGACCTAGTGGAAGAAGCATCAAAAATAGCTACAGTTGCAAGAAAAAGTATGTGAACCCTTTGGAATGATATGGATTTCTGCACAAATTGGTCATAAAATGTGATCTGATCATCCTCTAAGTCACAACAATAGACAATCACAGTCTGCTTAAACTAATAACACACAAAGAATGAAATGTTGCCATGTTTTTATTAAACACACCATGTAAACATTCACAGTGCAGGTGGAAAAAGTATGTGAACCCTTGGATTTAATAACTGGTTGAACCTCCTTTGGCAGCAATAACTTCAAGGTTTCCTGTAGTTGCAGATCAGACGTGCACAACGGTCAGGAGTAATTCTTGACCATTCTTCTTTACAGAACTGTTTCAGTTCAGCAATATTCTTGGGATGTCTGGTGTGAATCGCTTTCTTGAGGTCATGCCACAGCATCTCAATCGGGTTGAGGTCAGGACTCTGACTGGGCCACTTCAGAAGGCGTATTTTCTTCTGTTTAAGCCATTCTGTTGTTGATTTACTTCTATGCTTTAGGTCATTGTCCTGTTGCAACACCCATCTTCTGTTGAGCTTCAGCTGGTAGACAGATGGCCTTAAGTTCTCCTGCAAAATGTCTTGATAAACTTGGGAATTCATTTTTCCTTTGATGATAGCAATCCATCCAGGCCCAGGCAAAGCAGCCCCAAACCATGATGCCTCCACCACCATACTTCACAGTTGGGATGAGGTTTTGATGTTGGTGTGCTGTGCCTCTTTTTCGCCACACATAGTGTTGTGTGTTTCTTCCAAACAACTTAACTTTGGTTTCATCTGTCCACAGAATATTTGCCAATACTGCTGTGGAACATCCAGGTGCTCTTGTGCAAACTGTAAACGTGTAGCAATGTTTTGTTTGGACAGCAGTGGCTTCCTCTGTGGTATCCTCCCATGAAATCAATTCTTGTTTAGTGTTTTACATATTGTAGATTCACTAACAGGGATGTTAGCATTTGCTAGTGACTTTTGTAAGTCTTTAGCTGACACTCTAGGATTCTTCTTCACCTCATTGAGCAGTCTGCGCTGTGCTCTTACAGTCATCTTTACAGGACGGCTTCTCCTAGGGAGAGTAGCAGCAGTGCTGAATTTTTTCCATTTATAGACAATTTGTCTTACTGTGGACTGATGAACAGCAAGGCTTTTGGAGATACTTTTATAACCCTTTTCAGCTTTATGTAAGTCAACAATTCTTAATAGTAGGTCTTCTGAGAGCTCTTTTGTGCGAGGCATCATTCACATCAGGCAATGCTTCTTGTGAAAAGCAAACCCAGAACTGGTGTGTGTGTTTTATAGGGCAGGGCAGCTGTAACCAACACCTCCAATCTCATCTCATTGATTGAAATCCAGTTGGCTGACATCTCACTCCAATTAGCTCTTGGAGATGTCCTTAGTCTAGGGGTTCACTTACTTTTTCCACATGCACTGTGAATGTTTACATGGTGTGTTCAATAAAAACATGGCAACATTTCATTCTTTGTGTGTTATTAGTTTAAGCTGACTGTGAATGTCTATTGTTGTGACTTAGATGATGATCAGATCACATTTTATGACCAATTTGTGCAGAAATCCATATCATTCCAAAGGGTTCACATACTTTTTCTTGCAACTGTATTGAAATACCAAGAGAAGACACCCTGGTGAATAAAATTAAGCCATCTCAATAGAACATGGATATCCCAACTTTTATCACTCAGTACAGTAACCAATCTTTCCAATTAAATACAATTAACAAACACTGGAATGTACTCAAAGGAGATCCAGTATTGGATCGAATCCTGGAAAGTAAACCCAAGATAATATGCTCTAAGGCACCTAACCTGAAAACAATGATCGCCCCAACGGTAAAAGAAGAAAAGAAAAACATTCTGAATTAACAAAAGTGGCATTTCATAAATATGGAAAGTGTATGGCATGTAGAAATAATACAGCACAAATACCTCAGATCAACGAATTTAAATATCCAACAACTGGAGAAATTTTCAAAATCAAAACAAATTTGAACAGTAATTTAAGTGGAGTGATATATCTTTTGAGATGTCCCTGTGGCAAATATTATATTGGTAGGACCAAGCAAGTATTCAAAATCAGGGTAGCTGAACACATAAGAAATATCAAGAAAAGTCTCCCAACGCACAATCTCTCTAGACATTTTCATATGAAACACTCAAGTAATCCAGAAGGACTACAATTCATGGCCATTGAGAAAATGTTATAACATGACAGGAGGCTTCGTATTTGCTTAAGTCTCTCTTTACTAGAACTCCACAGCAGCACAGCCAAAAACAACCAATCAGAAAAAAATTAGGTACTATTAAACTCCCCTCCCCATGCATAATTTCCTCTTTCTTTGCTGCTCTGCAGTCAGTACAGGTCAGAGTACCACTGCCTCCTGCTTCTAGTTGGTGGCTTTGGGTTTTTATTATGATTTATTTATGATTTTTATTAATTATGCTAAGTTTTTTAAGATTACTGTGCCTTTTGGATCTTCTTTGCTTCCCCTGGTTTTTTGGAGGGGATATTTTCTTTTACATTGTAGTGGTTTCATGGGGGTTCCTGGAGATACCTATTCAGTTTGCTCTCCCTTTGATTTCATCCTCTCCCCCCCCAGTTTATATCAAAGATTACTGTGAGTTTCAATGACAGTGTATATCACAGATTGCTGTGAGCTGTACTGACAGTGTATATCACAGATTTAGTTTGGCTGACAGTGTATATCACAGATTGCTGTAAGTTTGGCTGACATGTATATCACAGATTGCTGTGAGTTTCAATGACAGTGTATATCACAGATTACTGTGAGTTTTGCTGCCAGTGTATATCACAGATTACTGTGAGTTTGGCTGACAGTGTATATCACAGATTGCTGTGAGTTTGGCTGACAGTGTATATCACAGATTGCTGTGAGTTTGGCTGACAGTGTATATCACAGATTGCTGTGAGTTTGGCTGACAGTGTATATCACAGATTGTTGTGAGTTTTGCTGACAGTGTATATCACAGATTGCTGTGCGTTTGGCTGACAGTGTATATCACAGATTGCTGTGAGTTTGGCTGACAGTGTATATCACAGATTGCTGTGAGTTTTACTGACAGTGTATATCACAGATTGCTGTGAGTTTTGCTGACAGTGTATATCACAGATTACTGTGAGTTACAGGTATATGTGAAACTCAGTTATACAGGCTCTGTACAGGGTGTATACAGAGCCAGTTGGCTAGTTAGCTCTAGGATGGATGTGCTTCACAGTATATATATTCTGGTCCAGCTATGGAGTCTCAGATGAGACTACTCTGGTATGAATTATCTGTCCATGGCATATGTTAAAAGCTAATCAGACCTGGCTCTGGCTCAGACTGTTATGGGAGCCCAGTCTATGCTGATACTATTCTATTTATCAGGTTCTATGGGGAGATTCATTGAGTTGGCAATTGTTTAGGAAATTGGAAAAAGAGAAAAAAACAGCGCTAAATTGCCACAATAAAATTATAAGGAAGGCAGCAATCCTCAAAGGGGAGTCCCCAATAATCCCCTAATGATAACAGATAGCAAGAACAAACAAAGATATAAGGATGCGCCTAAAACTTGATAAAATAAAAGACTAAATTAGTCAGATAAAATACAGAATAAAATAAGTAATAAAACAATAGTCCAATAAAATAGGCTTATCACAGTCCGTGAGGGTAGGTCCTGCTTGTAAAGGAATATTCTTTAGGGTGTAGGTGGGATCGTATCTTCAAATGTTGAGAATTCAGCATATGTGGAGAGAAAAATAAAAACAGGACTCCAATGGCACAGTAAATCGGTGTATAAAATAAATATAAAAGTATAAAATCAGTCTTACTCACACTTTTCAGAGCTAGGATCAGCTCTGATATTGATCGCGTAAAGTGGAATAATCCCCACTTCAAGGATATATGGAGTAAATTTTGATAGTTGAATATCTGACGTGGGTTCAGCGTTCAATTTAACGTAATACGACCCAGAGGAAAAAATGAAATAAAATATATAGTGCTCCCTAGTCCCTATTATACACCAGACTTAGTTGCCTGTGTGCAACTGTTCACATAAGCAACCCAGTGCGGATTCTTGTAACTATAAACCATTAAAAAAAAATAAAAAAAATTACTGTTGTAAAACATTATGAGTTAGAACCAGTCCTTTCATTTCAAGTCTCTGAGTTAGTCCTTGTATATAACAGTGTGGACTGTCTGTGCTTCGCGGCCCATTGACTGGGTCATCCGCTCCATCTAGTGCTCATTTCGTGTGTTCGTGTTGTGTGCGTGAGTGAGCATATTAATGAATGTCAGTTGGTGTATTGTGAGGTGGTGTAATTATGTGCTAGTGTGGTTAATACTTGCGATCTGTAGTCCCGGTTTATATAAGTCTCTTGCGGGCTTTGCTCCACTCCTGTGTGGTCTTCCTGATCGGGTGCCTATGTGGCTCAGTTGACGGGATGGGTATGTTCCATTCTTTTAGGAGCTTGATGCCCTCCTCCGGCGTGGAAATGGGTCTGAGTGTTCCACCATGTTGGACCAGCATTTTGGTCGGGTAGCCCCAGCGGTACTTGGTTCTGTGTTGCCGTAGAGCTTCTGCTACCTGATGGAATGTTCTTCTTTTCCTTAGCGTTGCTGCAGATAGATCATTGAAGAGCTTTACCGCTGGGTAGTCTTCGTGCGGTTTCTCCCTCGTGCGGCTCGCCTTGAGGACCAGTTCCTTAATGTGGAAGAAGTGGGCCCGGAACAGCACATCTCGCGGTGTGGAGTCTGGTAGGTATGTCGGTTTAGGGATGCGGTGTATCCGGTCAATTAACATCATGTCTGCCGGGATGTCTGGTGCGTAGGCCCTCAGCAGGCCTCGTACGTAGGCTTGGAGGTCCGCCTGCTGAACTGATTCCGGTACCCCTCGAAGCCTAATGTTGTTCCTCCGCGCCCTATCTTCAGCATCAGCCATCTGTGCGTCCAGCTTTTCTACCTTTTCCTCCAGGTGCTGGACGTGATCTGCCATGTTGTTATGGGCGGAAGCAAAGTCCCCCATTTTCTCCTCTATTTGTGATGTGCGAGTTCCCATCTCCTGTATTTCTTTTTTCAAGGTGTCGGCTGTTTGTTGCCAGGATGATATTAGTTTGTTAGACAATGAGTCCAGGGCTTGTGCCAAGAAGGTTTTCGTGATGTGGTCGGCCTGAGCATGCTCCGCCACGGGGAGGCTTGTGTCTGAGTCTCCGTCGCCATCTTGGGCGTCTTGTGGCGAGGCCGCTCGCGATGATTGGCTTTTGTGGCCGAAAAAGTTGATTTTGTCAGTTTTAGGGGCTGACTTCTTCGTTCTGTGGTGAGACATCCCCGCTGGATTCGTCTTGTCTTGGTAGGTATTGCCTTTTAACGCTCGATTGTGAGATCGTGGGTTCAGCGTTCAATTTGACGTAATACGGCCCAGAGGAAAAAATGAAATAAAATATATAGTGCTCACTGTATGTAATAAAATTAAAAGAAAGTAAAGTATACTACTCACGTAAAGTAGAGCAGACTCAAAACTGCTCAGTGAAGGCGCTCGGGTGGTATAATCCCCACCTATGGATTCTTTGCACTTCCTGCAGGGTGAGCCGTATACGTAAAAGCAATAAAAGAAAATGTATGTAAAATCAGGTAAAGGAGAAAGCAAATGGCAATAAAGTATTTTATGCCAATAAAATAGCTTTATTATAAAATTAAGAACAAAAACTATTAATATCTAAACGCGTTTCGCCTTAACAGGCTTCTTCAAGTAGATAGTGGGAAAGAGGGGGGGCATACCTGACATACATAAGCTTATATAATGTGTAATAGTACTTTAAATTTAAAATTCCCGCCAAAATGACGTCATAAAATTAGCATATAGATAATACAGGGAAGTTATTATAAAACAGTTATTGCACACATAAAAATTGACAATACAATGATAAAAAGCATATTTGCATTATTTAAATATTAAAACGAAGGTTATAATTTACTTTTTAAGTAAAAAAATAAAGAAAACGGTCACGTGACGCGGGATAAGAAATATTTCCGCGTCACATGATGCTCTGTGGCATATAGTGTAAGGGGGAGCTGTCCTGCCTCATTCAATGCGCTTGCATTTCGATGCAAGCGCAGGTAGATGGCTGTGGCTCAGCACATAAGCTCACTGACTGCAAGCAGACAGCCTGCCCCACATGAGTTTGAATCCAGTGAAGGATAACATGACTACAAAAAGCATAGATATTTACACAGGATATAGAAATAAATAATTTAAAAGAAAAAATTTGGACATTTATAGATACACAAGCCTTCAAACAAAATTCAATTTTAATTCAGAACAAAATAGAAAAAGTCGAAATGGATACCAAACACATTAAAGTAAAAAAATATATCCGTGACAAACAAGACTACTCTCATAATCAGGTTCGTTTCTACCACAAAAGAAACACTCCGGACAATACCACCTATCCACCTTATAACACTTATCAAAATGACTATATACCTAAAAAACATTACAATCATTTACCCAAAAGAGAATCACAATATCATCCTCATCCTCCTGTGAGGAAACAATCATTCACCTCATCACGCAACTTCCACCCTAACCGGTCACAAACTATCAACAAATACCAACACTATCCTACCCAATCTAGATATACACCTTTACCTCCACAATACCATAATTCACTCCAATCTACACAAACCTTCACGAATCGCACTACTAATACCAATCATTCCCCTGGTATGTATCAAAATGAGAAAGTCACAACACCTAAAATTCAAAGATCAAGATATGCACTGAAACACCTTGAAAACAAACGATCACCTCCTAATTATGTCCACAGTAACCGATATCAGCTACTATCTGTGGACTCTGAAACCGATAATGAGGATTATTTTTTAGAGCTTTGCACACAAAACAATGCACACGCACTAACACCACATCCTATAAAAACCAGAAAGCGAAGCCTAAATCTAGAGGAAGGAGAAGTGGTAGAAGAATCCAAAAGAGAAAGATTAGAGAGACAATAAATCAATCAAATAAGAAAGATTTGGGTATCTTTAATTTATCCCAAAAAGCCCTAACTTCTACTCAAATATCAGTTCTCACTAAAGGTCTTAAATTCACACCTACGAATGCTTTTAAACCTTTTAAAGCTTTTATAGACGTTAATAAATTTGTGAGAAAAGCCACTCTTAAAAGATTTTTTGCTTGTAAGAATGGAGAAATCCCCATCTCACAACCCTTAACTACCTCACCAACAGGGTCACTAAAAATAATTTCTACCTCATTAAAGAAAGATTCTACTTTCTTTCCCTCGAGTTTTAAATCAGGTCCTTTAGAAGTGTTCGAAAAATTAGTTACAAAAGATTTAGAGAAAATTTAAAAAAAAGAAATATGATCGAGATAATCTCACATATTCAGAACGTAAAGCATTACAACAACTACAGAAAGACGAAGATATCATCATAAAACCTGCAGATAAAGGGGGAGGTATAGTTATCTTAACAAAAGACATGTATATAAAATAAGCTATGAGACAATTAAACGACCCTATTGTCTATGAAAAACTTTCCCAAGACCCTACTACCAAGGTTCAACAAATTGTAATCTCTTTTTTAACTTATGGTCGAGAACAGAATATTTTAACTAAACAGGAATTCCAATATCTCAATGTGTCTCATCCTATCATTCCTGTAATTTACTTTTTACCAAAAATTCATAAAGATATCACAAACCCCCCCAGCAGGCCTATTGTATCAGGGATCAATTCTATTTTATCCAATCTATCTGAATATTTAGATATCCTCCTACAGCCTTCAGTGAAACGCACAAAGTCATATCTTAAAGACTCTATGACTCTACTTCGTTTTCTAAATAATTTAAAATGGAAGAATACATACACTTTAGTAACTTGTGATATACAGTCTCTATATACCATCATCCCTCACGACAAAGGCTGTTCAGCAGTTGAAAAAATTTTAAAAGAGGAAAAAAACATGCCAGATCAACAAATAGATTTTATTATTCAAGGTATTAATATTATTTTAAGAAATAACTATTTTTGGTTTTTAGACTCCTTTTACTTACAAAAACAAGGCACAGCTATGGGTACCAGGTTTGCCCCCAGCTATGCCAACCTCTTTATGGCAGATTGGGAATCCACTGCCGTACTGGGAGGGCATAGCTGGCAGGCAAACCTGGTGACATATTTTAGATACATTGATGATTTATTTTTTATTTGGGACGGCCCAGAAGACCTTTTAAAACAGTTTTTACATTACTTAAATTTTAATGATAAAGGTATCATTTTAACTTGGGATTACAGCCAATCTTCCATTCATTTTTTAGACTTGGAAATTTTTATTAATAACTGTCAAATTCATACAAAAACTTTTTTCAAAAAAGTATGTACCAATAATGTTATTGATGTAACCAGTTGCCACCATAAACCTTGGCTCCAAGGAATACCCAAAAGCCAATTTCTGCGTCTACGTAGAAACTGTTCCCTCACCCAAGATTTTGAGGAACAATCTCAATTACTATCTGATAAATTTATTCAAAAAAATTACCCGAAAAACAATTTAGACCAGACGTTAAAAAATTATCAGTCAAACCAACAGATCCGAATTACTAGAGTACAAAAACCATAAAGAAACCAAAACTGCCCCCGTATTGCCAATTATATTTGACTTCAATAACAAAAGTAATGTTATGAAGAAGATTATAAAAAAACATTGGCATATATTACAGGATGAGACTTTGGCCGGAATTGTCCCTGAGAAACAACAAGTTATAATTACAAGTAATTATACTAAACACAAAATATATTCCCCCAACCCCCAACCCTTTTACCTTTTTAAATAAACCCTGTGGTTTCTTCAAATGTAATAGATGTATAGTATGTAAACGCACTAGTGACACTATAAAATCTAAAACAACATCGTTTTTATCCACAAGGACACAGAAAACATATCAAATAAAAAAATTTATTCATTGCAATACAAAAAATGTCATCTATCTTTTAGAATGTCCCTGTGGGCTCCAATATGTCGGGATGACTACTAGAGATTTAAAAACCAGACTGGCTGAACATTGCAGAAATATCTTAAAAGGTTATGAAAATCATTCCGTTTCAAAACATTTTTTACAACACGGAAAAAATCCCAAAATTCCTTAAATGCATCGGCATAGATATCTGCAATGTTCCTTGGAGAGGTGGAGACATTAAGAAAGTTTTAGGCAAAAAAGAAATGGAATGGGCATATAACTTGAAAACTCTCGCTCCCACTGGCCTTAACATTGATTTTGATCTTTTTAATTTTTTATAATATTGCTGCATTTTTAAGGATACCCCTTTAAGTATTGTTTTTTACTCTCCTCTTCCCCTTTTTAACTTATATTGAAAAGTGCCTATATAAATATATATGTATATATACTATCCTACTGATTATAATTTTATTTTATATTCTATTATATTACAAACATATTTTCTTTATATATATATATATATATATTATTTATACAAGCACATATATGCAAATAATCATGGTTCATTTTATTTATGTTCTTGCACAAAATATATGAAAAACTTGCTGTTTATTATTTTAATAATATATATATATATATATTTTATGTTTCCTGTGTAAATATCTATGCTTTTTGCAGTCATGTTATCCTTCACTGGATTCAAACTCATGTGGGGCTGGCTGTCTGCCTGCAGTCAGTGAGCTTATGTGCTGAGTCACAGCCATCTACCTGCTCTTGCATAGAAACGGCTCTACCTCTTATCCTTTGAATGAGGCAGGACAGAGCATATGCCACAGAGCATCTTATCCCGCGTCACGTGACCGTTTTCTTTATTTTTTTTACTTAAAAAGTAAATTATAACCTTCGTTTTAATATTTAAATAATGCAAATATGCTTTTTATCATTGTATTGTCAATTTTTATGTGTGCAATAACTGTTTTATAATAATTTCCCTGTATTATCTATATGCTAATTTTATGACGTCATTTTGGCGGGAATTTTAAATTTAAAGTACTATTACACATTATATAAGCTTATGTATGTCAGGTATGCCCCCCCTCTTTCCCACTATCTACTTGAAGAAGCCTGTTAAGGCGAAACGCGTTTAGATATTAATAGTTTTTGTTCTTAATTTTATAATAAAGATATTTTATTGGCATAAAATACTTTATTGCCATTTGCTTTCTCCTTTACCTGATTTTACATACATTTTCTTTTATTGCTTTTACGTATATGGCTCACCCTGCAGGAAGTGCAAAGAATCCATAGGTGGGGATTATACCACCCGAGCGCCTTCACTGAGCAGTTTTGAGTCTGTTCTACTTTACGTGAGTAGTATACTTTACTTTCTTTTAATTTTATTACATACAGTGAGCACTATATATTTTATTTCATTTTTTCCTCTGGGCCGTATTACGTCAAATTGAACGCTGAACCCACGATCTCACAATCGAGCGTTAAAAGGCAATACCCACCAAGACAAGACGAATCCAGCGGGGATGTCTCACCACAGAACGAAGAAGTCAGCCCCTAAAACTGACAAAATCAACTTTTTCGGCCACAAAAGCCAATCATCGCGAGCGGCCTCGCCACAAGACGCCCAAGATGGCGACGGAGACTCAGACACAAGCCTCCCCGTGGCGGAGCATGCTCAGGCCGACCACATCACGAAAACCTTCTTGGCATAAGCCCTGGACTCATTGTCTAACAAACTAATATCATCCTGGCAACAAACAGCCGACACCTTGAAAAAAGAAATACAGGAGATGGGAACTCGCACATCACAAATAGAGGAGAAAATGGGGGACTTTGCTTCCGCCCATAACAACATGGCAGATCACGTCCAGCACCTGGAGGAAAAGGTAGAAAAGCTGGACGCACAGATGGCTGATGCTGAAGATAGGGCGCGGAGGAACAACATTAGGCTTCGAGGGGTACCGGAATCAGTTCAGCAGGCGGACCTCCAAGCCTACGTACGAGGCCTGCTGAGGGCCTACGCACCAGACATCCCGGCAGACATGATGTTAATTGACCGGATACACCGCATCCCTAAACCGACATACCTACCAGACTCCACACCGCGAGATGTGCTGTTCCGGGCCCACTTCTTCCACATTAAGGAACTGGTCCTCAAGGCGAGCCGCACGAGGGAGAAACCGCACGAAGACTACCCAGCGGTAAAGCTCTTCAATGATCTATCTGCAGCAACGCTAAGGAAAAGAAGAACATTCCATCAGGTAGCAGAAGCTCTACGGCAACACAGAACCAAGTACCGCTGGGGCTACCCGACCAAAATGCTGGTCCAACATGGTGGAACACTCAGACCCATTTCCACGCCGGAGGAGGGCATCAAGCTCCTAAAAGAATGGAACATACCCATCCCGTCAACTGAGCCACATAGGCACCCGATCAGGAAGACCACACAGGAGTGGAGCAAAGCCCGCAAGAGACTTATATAAACCGGGACTACAGATCGCAAGTATTAACCACACTAGCACATAATTACACCACCTCACAATACACCAACTGACATTCATTAATATGCTCACTCACGCACACAACACGAACACACGAAATGAGCACTAGATGGAGCGGATGACCCAGTCAATGGGCCGCGAAGCACAGACAGTCCACACTGTTATATACAAGGACTAACTCAGAGACTTGAAATGAAAGGACTGGTTCTAACTCATAATGTTTTACAACAGTAATTTTTTTTATTTTTTTTTAATGGTTTATAGTTACAAGAATCCGCACTGGGTTGCTTATGTGAACAGTTGCACACAGGCAACTAAGTCTGGTGTATAATAGGGACTAGGGAGCATACCCCTTAACGAGAATGAATGCGCCAATATGCTTATAAATGTATAGTCTGGGATGTAGAGTGTGGCGGGTGTGGGCAACCCTGCCCTAGGGGGGGTTTCTGCAGGTCGCCATGGGGCTGCTTCCCTGCGCAACTTAGGGGTGGCACCTACACACACAATGGCCCGTAACGCCTCCACCCTGCTATAGAGGCAATGGAGGGAAGAACTTACAGGTTATGGGGCGGGACAGCGAGCCTGATCGGCCACACCCAACAACACTAGATGCACTGGCCCTCTGAGAGGGGTACAAGGTGACAGCAACGACCCACCACCCGGGGCTGGCGCCAACCCTGCCCTGGGGGGCAGGCCCGGCCGCGGGGGCCACCCCACCAAATGGCTGATGAAGCAGGCTGGCATGGCCCATACGCGCGATAATGGCTGGGCTGCGCGTGTGGGACATGAGCCGGGCAGAGGCTATGTGACCCGCCTTCGGACTGAATGAGGTGTGTTGCTGGAGACTGAGTCCCCGGGGTGTCCCTGCGGCTGAGGACCGACACAGACTCCAACGCCGGGGTCGAGAGATGCACCCTTATTGTGGGCACGCCAGACTTAAACAGGGAATTGGACACCAGTGTATTTAAAGGGACCTCAACCAACCACGCCTTTATACTACACCAATATGCTAAACAGAGCTCAACAGCCACATATGGGAGACCTAAACGACTCCTGCCCCCGAGGTGTGGACTATCCACACCAAACCCTTCTTGGAAGGAACCTTGTTTACCCACCCAAGTTCTCTTACCCTGGTTACAACTTATCCCCTATACCCACCCTCAGGAGACAACGGTACCAGAAAACCTATACGCCCAAACCGCACTCACCCCCCACCCCCTGCAAGACAGGGCATACACACATGAAACGCAAAGAATCTTGATGCAGCACTCCAACCTAAACCGATGTCTATAACGATAAGAACCCATAACACTCGAGGGTTAAACCACCCACACAAACGCCGCATCCTTTTAGAAGCGGCAAAACAAGACAACATAGACATTTTATGCGTCCAAGAAACGCATTTTGTGACAAACAAAGTCCCTCAGTTTGGACTTCAAGACTATCCAACCCAGTTCCACTCCACACATTCCTCCAAATCCAAGGGAGTGTCGTTCCTAATACACTACTCACTAACGTTTGAACTACTGCGACTCAACAAAGACACACAAGGGAGATACATAATACTGCACTGCATGATCAACGACACAGAATACACGCTAGCAGGCATTTACAGTCCAAACACAAACCAAAGACAATTTTTGCAAAAAATCCTGAATAAACTCCCGAATCCGCTACCAGGAGCCATGATTATCTGTGGCGACCTAAACCACGTATTGGACTCCCGCATAGACACAACACTCCCTGGCCTCTCCCCACGACACGCTACAACAGGCACACAAAGCAAAGCCATACTCAAGCTGATGATAGAACACAACCTATACGATGCATGGCGCACACTACACCCCACTGAAAAAGAGTTCACGTACTACTCACAAGTCCACAAATCATTCTCCAGAATAGACCATATACTGGTCTCGGGAACGCTAATACCTAGCACTACCAAGTGTGACATCGGCGACATAGTGTGGTCTGACCACGCGCCGATCACGATCATGATAAGAGGCACCTTTCCCCACAGGGGCCGGGCGCCCTGGCGCCTAAACAACTCCCTATTGCATGACACCACCTTCCTTGCACAGATGACACAAAACCTAGAACAATATTTTCAGACCAACAACACCCCAGACATTTCACCCACCTCAGCCCCGGGCCCAGATGGCCTAACAAACCACTATTACAAAACATTCGCCGAAACCTTGGCCCCCTACCTGACCCCAGTGTACAATCACATCATATCAACGGGCACAATGCCAAAGGAGATGCTCATGGCACACATTGTGACGCTCCCCAAGCCAGGGAAACCACCAAACAAGAGTCAAAATTTGCGCCCGATCTCACTCCTCAACACGGACACAAAAGTATTAGCTAAAATATTTGCCAACAGACTGGCCCCAATCATACCCACACTGATACACGCAGACCAAGTGGGGTTTGTGGGGGGACGTAAGGGAGCTGACGGTGTGAGAAAGGTACTGGACTTACTGGGTGGGCTGCGGGGGGGAGGTGCGCCAAGTGTGTTGGTATCTTTGGACGCCGAAAAAGCTTTCGATCGCCTCCACTGGCCCTTCCTTCACGCAGTCCTAAGGAAATTCGGATTCCCCCCATGATTCACCGCATTGATACACGCGTTGTACTCCTGCCCCTCAGCTAAGGTAGTGAACGGGGGCTTCGCCTCAAACAGTTGCAACATATCCAACGGCTCCCGCCAAGGCTGCCCTCTATCTCCGATATTGTACATACTCGCCCTGGAACCCCTCACACAATTAATTAGAAGCGACCCTAAAATACAAGGTATCAGAGTAAAACACAAAGAATACAAGCTCACACTATTTGCGGACGACATCCTCCTCACACTGCAAAATCCACGGGTCTCACTACCCGCCCTACACAAGCTGATACACCAATATGGGGAATGTTCATACTACAAATTGAACATATCTAAAACACAAGCAATGGGAATTAACATCCCACAGATGGAGCTGGCAAACCTCAAAGAAAAGTTCGCATATGAATGGCATACGGATCACCTCAAGTTTCTAGGAATAGCCTTGACGAAGTCCCTAGCAGGTATTCACAAAGCAAACTACACACCACTTCTCACAGAGCTCAAAACCCTCATACATAGCTGGAAAGGGAAATTTATCTCATGGGTAGGCAGGATAGCAGCAGCAAAAATGCTACTCCTCCCGAGAATACAATACCTATTTAGAACTATCCCCCTAGTAGTACCCAACAGCTACCTATGTGAACTACAGAAATTGATTAACTCATTCATATGGAACAACGCCAAACCCAGAACCGCGAAAGCCACCCTACACAAACCATTCGCGCTAGGAGGCATGAGTCTACCAAACATAACAAACTACTACAAAGCGGCCATTATAAGCCAAGTGGATGTCTAGGAAACTAAGACCAAAATACAAGGACATGCTCCCCACTACCAAACTCACACTACAGATATGGGATCGGTTTGGGGACACATATATAACAAAAGGGGGCACCTCCTTGGCAACGCCCATAGAAACACAAACCTGATTATACCGGGATTCAACTCCAAACTGTGGAAAATCCACAACATCACACACCTTCTCCACCTGTGTCAAGGCCCAGTGCTGAACTCATTTGCTGAGGTCCAAACACAACATGGGGTACCCAACACAGCCCTTTTCACGTATATGCAACTTATGTCATGGTTTAAAACGCAAACGATATGCTCGTACAATACTGTAAATGGTCTACAGCTGACGGAGGTGGAAAAAATAAGCCTTAACTTACAGCCGTGCAAGAAACTAATATCCCTGGTCTATGCAATATATAGTACCATAGCAGCAACCCCAGCCCACACATTCACAAAAGCATGGGATCGAGAAATACCGAACCAAATAACGGAGAGCCAATGGGCCCAAATTTTCCAGGCACATAAGAGTCTCTCACTGTGTGCCTCCCATATGGAAATAACACGAAAAATTTTGTACAGATGGTACATGGTACCAGTGTGCCTTAAGAAAGGCAACCCAAACATACCAGACACATGCTGGCGTTGCTTAAACGACAAAGGTTCTATGCTACATATTTGGTGGTCGTGCCCGAAATTGAAGCAATTCTGGTTAGACATCACAACCACCATAAGGGAGACCACGGGGGTCAACCTCCAGCACTCCCCCGTAATATACTTACTACAACTATTTCCGAAAGGCCTCCGCAGAACCCACACATACCTCATATATCATATCATAGTAGCAGCCCTCCAAACTATTAGTAGACATTGGCGCAACCCAAACCCACCGAACATGGCTCAATGCCTAACAGCATTACAGCTAACAAAACAATACGAACTAATGGCGCGGAAATATGCGCCACCAAAACCATTTATAATGGCAGCCTGGGAGCTATGGGAGAAGCACATTGCAATCACATAGAGATGGGGCCAATGCAGAAAAAACCCTCAATTATGAGACACATAAGCCACTCCGACAGCTGAGACCATCCAAACGGGGAAATCTGTTTAACAGAATACGAAATGAGAAACGTTTGCATCTACGTAATGTACCTAAGAAACATATCAGAAAAATATACATGTACAGAGCAACTTTATAAGGTAACTGTAGTTACACAGAAAAACACCTGACCTCTAGCGAACATTACCGCTTCTCCTGGATCCCTCCCCCCCCCCTACCCTTCTTCACACCCCACTTTAGTTATACTGTTAAACAAATCAACAAGCCAGCAAGGAACAAGATAAGTATTATGAAACAGGATCGTAAGCGATATTTGTTGATATATGTACTTAATCCCTGTTGTACTCCATATGTATCAAATTGTTGATACGACAAAATGTGCAAAGTTATTCATGCCATACAATGTTATTTACATGTCTACTAAAATCCTGGCAATAGCTGTTGTGGCATTGCTAGAAAACTGTTACTTGTATAACCTATGCACGGAAAATAAAGAAAATGCTGTTTGAAAAAAAAACAAAA